CGCCGGCCCACACCTGGTAGTCCCAGGCCCTGGCGTCCGAGCCGGAGCCGCAGCCCGTGGGGTCGGCACAGGCCTGGTACTGCCGGTAGACGTCGTAGCAGGGCTCGGTGCCCGAGGCGTTGTAGACCAGCCCTGGACACACGCGGCAGCCTCAGGCGGGCGCCCAGCGGGAGCGGGGCTGCGGGGTTCCCCAGCAGGCCGGCCGCAGGGCCTGGGCACTTCCCGCTCGGGGCGGGCGGGCAGCAGACGCACCTGCCAGCGCGCGGAGCCCCCGGACGCTCTGACTCTCGTTCAGCAGCCGCTCGCAGCCCACCTGCCGGGCAGCACCTCCGTGGGCCCCCACTCGCAGCCTGCAGCCCCGCACGCCTCCCGTGGCCCCAGGCCCAGCGTGGGTGCGAGACCCTGGGGAGGGACACGCCCAGCTCCAAGAGCTCCTCCCTGCCGCCTGGGGCTGGGGCCCCCACCTTGACGGGGTTGGCGGGCAGGTGTCCCAGAAAGTCGGTGGGGTACGGGTAGTCCATCATGGCCAGCACGGTGAAGGCGTTGCGGACAAACCCGAAGAGCTGAGTCAGGTCCTTCGGGCTGGAGAGCAGCTGGCAGGTGCCGAAGGCCTGGCTGACCGCCTGGTGGGCTGCGGGGAGGGGAGCAAGGGCCGGTGGAGGCTCCTGAGGCGGGGCCCTGGCGCCGGGCAGGTCCCGGGCCGTGCCGCTCACCTCCCTGTAGGAACCAGTCCTTGATCTGCCTGAAGGCGTCGCGCACCCGCTGGGCACACTTGAGACTGTGGGCTTCAAAGTCCTGGGGATGGGGACAGTGGTGGCCGCAGCCGCTGTGCCGCGGGCGCCACCCAGGGCCAGAGCCCCACTCACCGCCGACACGTCCCGGAAGAACTGGTAGGGGCTGCCGAGGCCCGCCACCGCCAGGACAGGGGCGCTGGCCGCCAGGGCGCCCGCCACGAGGTGGGGGTACTTCATCCTCATGTAGGCGCTCAGCATGCCCCCGTAGCTGGGCAGGGACGAAGGGTGAGGGCTGCGGCGCCCCCGGGGCCACTTCCCGGGCCGCCACCCGGCACGCACCGCACCCACCTCCCGCCGAAGGCGATGGCCGGGGC